CAGGGCTGGACAGTTTATCTTCATAAACATTTTCTGACCTTATTAAAAGATAAATAGCAGGTACCGTACTTGAAAAAGACGAAGATAAACCAGTATTAACGTAAAAAAGGGTAACAAAAACCGAATTCTTTGAATAATCGTGTTTATCATGCATATAAATTTCACAACAATATTTGCGCAGCATTTTATGGTTCTTACGAAGGGTTAGATTTTATGCCAAGCGAAAAACAACTTTACTAACATCCAAGTAACTTTTCCACATCCTCCTCTCGATTAAAATGTATGAGAGAAGTCTGATTTGCACGTTTAAGTATTGTAAGAATCAATTTTGAACATTCTGGAATTTCAGTCTTGAGAATAACAATCGTATTATCTGTATATTAAATACGTGAAGCAAAAACTTTGTATCCCTTTTTACGAAAATTGCGCGGACGGAGGAGTATGAAATTTTCCATACTTATAGAGAATATAGAGAAGAAGTGCACAATGCTAATATTTTTTTTAAATAATGCATAAAAGATACATTAAATCAATAAAGAAAACATTACACACACTACATACCATGTATTTGACGCACACACGCATGCATACTATTTATTGTCAAACTTTTGTTCTTGACGTCTGTGGTCAAATTGAGAATAGATTAAATATTGTTTGTCTTGATTAATATTTTTTTATAGTGTAGCCTTAGCGAAATTTGTGATTATAGAAGTATAAATTACAATCATAATAGTGTACAAACTTACAATTTCAATTAATTATAGTCGAATTTCGACTACTGCGGGACCTCTAGTATTTTATTATTTGAGCTATGAATTTCTGAGAAAAGGGAATATACGTTAAGCGTTATTCCTAAAACTGGAACATAGGATACATTAATAGAGTCGATATGTAAGACTGGGACATTTTCAAGTAAAAATTGCAGTAAAGTGTAAATTCAGAATGTACAGTAATTTATTTTATTGATGTTTATTTAAACACGAGATCAATACGAATTACAGTGAAATTTAGAATCCTGAATATTTAGAATCGTATTATAAGCCTTGATAGCTTGGGATGCGTATTTTTTCTAATCAATGAAATTCTCGGACACTTAAGTCATGAAGTAAGAGATGTTAATTAAAACCCCGTAAGCGAGTTTTCTTTTTTTAGAGAAATAATAATATTACTTACCTAACGCGTTTTTCCAAACGTATTTCACGATGACGCAATGTCCATGAGGTATGAAAATAAAAGCGTAAAAATTTACAAAATTACTAAAACTACTACTGATGGTAAGGCATACTGTGAACCTCTTCAGGTAGTGGTAGTAATGCGTTTCGGTTTGAAGGGCGGGGCAGCCGTTGTACTGTTAAAAGTAAGATCTTGCAACTCATGTCCTAAGCCGGGTGGTGACATTTACATTATAAATATCTATGGGCTCCGGTAATCACTTAAGATCAGGTGGGCCGTGAGCTTGTTCACCGGTCCAAGCAATAAAAAAAAATTTAAACTAGTAACCACTTAACACCAGGTAAGACTTGAGTTCGTGCAGTCGTCTATGCAACGAAAATAGCAACATATCGTCTAATGTATGCCATATTCAGACTAATAAGGAGCAATCCAAAAATACCTAAAATGCTTAAAAGCTGGTTGGTGTCTTAAAAATATATCATGTCACGTAGCAAAGTATCGCGAGCTAATATTCATGCTCTTGAAAAAAATTACCCTCTTTCTGGGGCAGTCGACACAAAAAAAACCGCTGGAAAGTTTTAAATGAATCACGATTAAAAAAACTGCAGAATTTCCATTTCCAACATCTACCTTTAAAAAAAATCGTGAAAGGAAACTTCGCACTCAACGAAGCTTTTATTCGAATGGAATTCATTACGAAACTAAAGGAATCGAATTGATTCCGGTAATTGATTTACTGAATGTACCTGTTCCTTGTAGAGTCTCTCCTCTCGAGATGTTTAGAGATCTAATTTATTTTATAACCGGGTTGCATTTAACGTAATTGAATCCACGAAGAAATATGAAGACTAAATAGAGCAGACAAGATTTTCAACGGTAACTATTGCGTATTTTTTAGCTATTGCATAGATTTTATATTTAATCGCGGGCCTTGAGCGCGGTTTAAGAGCGGAATTATGAAATTCCGTAACGAAAAAACCTTCCACCCCTCACTACGCCTACTATGTAGCTCGCGTTCAACACATTCACACGTTGCGCTTGTGTAGTGCTTAAAGTAAGAAGTCTAAGAACCGATTTATGTACTATCAAAATATGTGATATAATGTCGTGAGTAACACAACGATAGCGCGATTCAACTTTTGCGTCAAGCGCCGTCTATCGGCGACAAACGGAATCGTAAAATAGACAATTATATGACATTACAATGCGTTGGGCGTGCCATTTTCCATCGCTCAGTCGAAGACTTTTATTACTACTCCTACTACTCATTCAGTGATTGGAGTGGCATTAAAAATAAAATAGCTAAATTGTTGATTCTGGGCGAATGAGAGTTAGAACTAGCATCCAAAGGCGTGTCTCTATCCCAAGTAGCGCCCTCTAGTGGGTGCGCGGTCAAAATGGAATACCCACAATGTAGCAGATTCATTAAAAGTAAGCCCACTGAGCTTCTCGCCGGATTTTATTTTATTTTTTGTTTTAAAATTAAATTATTATTGTCGATTTATAATTGCATAAGTTGTTAAACAAATGCTATATAATAGCTTTACCGCGGCAGTCTCCGAGTGCCACACGTCTTTTTTTTATTTATTTAATACTAGCTGACCCGGCAGACTTCGTAGTGCCTCAATCGATAAATAAAAGACCTAAGCTTTTGTATAAAATAAACTAAAAACAAACAAAAGGAATCCGTCCGACCGAATAATTCAACACCAAAATTAGCCAAATCGGTCCAGCCGTTCTCGAGTTTTAGCGAGACTAACAAACAGCAATTCATTTTTATATATAAAGATAGATATAGATAGATTGTATTGGTAGTAGTTTATGTTCTAAATCTACATACACATTTCGTATAAAAATCCATTTCCATATGTTCACGATGATTGCGATATGATTACACGCCTCATTGCATATTTCCGCCAGCCTACCACTGAAAAGGGTTACAGACTAAACGGTTTTCCAGTACAGTAAAAAAAGAATGTTCCAAAACGTACCTACATGAATTTGAAAGGATCCAATACCAACTATTTTCTCTATGTAGTCTTGAAGTTTTGGAAATAGGCGTTATTTTGCTGCATTATAGTTGTGAAGGCAGAAGGTTCATTGATCCAATTTAATTTAGACTTCTCGGCTCACATTCCTGATAATGCTCACCATACGTGCACACACACGAATGGTGTAAATTACATAAAATCCCGCAAAAGCTTCAAGCATAATATGTCAGACATGTCATAAAGTTATTAATATAATCCTGTATTCCGAAATATTGCATCACCCACCACTAAGCATCATCATAATGTGTTATCAGAGTTTTCGCTATGTATGGTACGGTCTCTAGTCAGTGCTCTAGTTGACCCGTAGTATTGCCAATGTCCATGAGCAATGGTAATGGCTTGAATAAAAATAAAAAAATAAATTTGTTGGTAATGCGGGTAGATGTGCCCTTATTTTATCTAGTCAAAATGACGTTCTTTCTCGGGCGAATCCATTGAGGTTTCGTTGTTGTTCAAATTGAATTTAGAAAACGAATCTGATTACCGATTGCTGTTCAGCAAATCAGCTTATAGTCCGGAAGTGGACTAGTCACAATGGAAATATATCGAAAAGATTTGAGAAAATAAACGAATAATATTTTGAAACGGTTTCAAAATTTTGTAGACCCTGAGCTATGGAGCATTATTTTTCTTTTGTATAAACAGCGATCCTTGTAATTAAGAGTAACAATTAAAAGGAGGATGTATATTTTTGTCTTTAAATTCATGACTTAACAATTCCTTTTACGAAACAGTTAAATTATTATCATTACGTGCATGGGCAGAGGTGCTTACGCCCGCCCGTAGATCCTTCAACGCGCTGTCCACCATAAATTACACAAAACGTTAGTAGATATTTTTATTACTTACAAAATTTGAAGTTTGAAAGAACTCACGGCTCACCTTGTGTTAAGAGGGTACCGGAGCCCCTAGAACGTATCAACAACGTAACTTCCGTCATACACACCTTGAGTCATGAGTTCTATAGTCTTAGTTCTATGATACAGCGGTTTGCCCACTGAGTTTCTCGCCGGATCTGCTCAGTGGGTCGCGTTTCCAATCCGGTGGTAGATTCTGCGAAACACTGCTTTTGCTAGGGCCGGTGCTAGCAACGCTTCCGGTTTGAGCCCCGTGAGCTCACCTACACGTCAAGGCGAAGCTGAAATAGCCTCTCAAGGCTATGAGTATAGGTAGGAAAAAAAACAGTTGTATGGCACTGCCCCATCTTTCAAACCTGAATGCGTTTCGTAGCAGAAGTAGACAAGATAGTGGTGCTTCCTCGTGCGGGCTTATAATACGTCCATAACCAGTAGATGTTCGTCCATCATCGTAGTATCCTGGTAATTTGTAATTTGTATCATTTGCGTAATTACTGGTGGTAGGTCCTCGTGAGAGCCCGCGCGGGTAGGTACCACTACCCTGCCTATTTCTGCCGTGAAACAGTAATGCGTTTCGGTTTGAAGGGTGGGGCAGCTGTTGTAACTATACCTGAGACCTTAGAGCTTATTTTTCAAGGTGGGTGGCGCATTTACATTGTAGATTTCTATGGGCTCCAGTAACCACTTAACCACAAGTGGGCTGTGAGCTCGTTAACCCATCTAAGCAAAAAAAATGTTTAGGACTTAGCTATTTATATAATAAAGGTTTAGCACTTTGTGTCAACACCAGTTACATATTATTCTATGATCAGTGAAGTCAGACTCAGACTGTATTCCGTATTTAATTTTTTTAAAAGTGAATTTGCATTTTTATTTGAAGAATTAAAAAATTAAAACAAAATTAACAAAAAGTAGCACTTTATTATCGATCAATGACATCCTTTAGGTGCTTGAGAGCTTCGTCCAAAGCTAAATACACTTCCTGAGTGTTCGGAGCTCTGGCCTCCACGGACACGGTCCTGCTTCGCATCTGGGGCTTGTGCAGCATGCTCTGGGTCAGCGGGCAGAATACGTCAGGGTTCATGGAATCGGTGCGAGACTTTCCGGTCATATAACTTAGGGGTACGCCTATAAGCAACACCGTTATAGCTCCAGCGAACGGACAGTACGTGAATGATATCCTGAAGAGTGACTGAAGAGGTTTGCTGGCGATTGGGTTTCTGAAAACAGACGAGGATAACTTTTCAAACATGATTTTTGTAAATTTATTACATAATATTTATTTATATGAGCAAAGACAAAACGGCTATGTACAATTTTCTCTTTTTCGTGAACCCATTTTTTTGTTTAGTAGTTTTTTATTTTTTATTGCTTAGATGAATGGACGAGCTCGCAGCCCACCTGGTGTTAAGTGGTTACTGGAGCCCATATACATCTATAACGTAAATGCGCCACCAACCTTGAGATATAAGTTCTAAGATCTCAAGTATAGTTACAACGGCTGCCCCACCCTTCAAACCGAAGCGCATTACTCCTGCACGGCAGAAATAGACAGGGTGGTGGTACCTACCCGCGCGAACTCACAAGAGGTCCTACCACCAGTAAGTTACTGACTAGCTTTATGGTTGTCAATCTTCTTAAGATTTCACCAAACAAAAAAACATTTTTTTTACACCTAAGATGAGTGGTCGAGTCACTTGGTGTTAATTGTGTACCAGAGCCCATAGACATATAGAACGCAAATTCGACCACCCACCTTGAGACACGAGTTCTAAGGCTCAGTTTTACAGTACAGCGGTTGACCTTTTTTTTTTTTTTTTTCGGGCCGGTGGCCGAACCTCCTACGAGGTCCCCGCGCCTAGGGGGCGCGCGGGGTATGTGAGACTCAACGATCTGCAGGTGTTGAGAGCAGATCGCGGGCCCAAGGATTTTAGGGCCCACCCACTAAACGACTCCACTGCACTCTTACTCCCGACGTCCGATCTCCGTCCGGGGTCAGAACCCGTTCAGAGTAGGGGGGGTTCCCGCGGTCAACACTACAACCAGACACGCGGCGCCACCCCGAGGACGCCCGACTGACGGGTCGTCGAGGCGATAGTCGACGACCAACGACGTCAGTCTCCGCGGTACGGCGGCCCTACCAGGCCGCCCGGGCGGTGCCGCTGGTGTTCCGGGATACCCCGCTGGGCCAGAACCAGCCTGCCGGGTCGGAACGCGATACACCGCCGACCGGGTTGCTCTTCAACAGTATGTTCGGCGACGACAGCGACGACGAAAATGCGGACCGCATCGCAGTCCGCAGCCGCCGACGCGCCGTCCCGTCCTCCTGGTGCCAGCGCGCTAGAGTGACGGTAGCGTGCGGCGCAGCCTCAACCCCCTTAGGTCGCCCCGTGACCATCACCGGGAGGAGACTGCCTCCTCATAGGGGCTGGAGCTGGACAAACGCCCTCCTCCGGCCCCCGGCCCGACGGCGGCGGCACGGCGCCGAGAGGGAAGAAGAGCTCTCCCTCTCCCGTTCCGCCGCCTCCTTCTGCGAGATGGTGGACTCGCAGAAGTCGAGCATCGCCTGCCAGGACTCGTCGCTGCCGAGCATCGTAGCCACGACGGTCGGAAGCGACAAGTCCGGACCTATTTTTGCAACGAGGACGCGGCGCTGCTCCGTGAAAGCGGGGCAGTACGCGAGCGTGTGCTCCGCCGTGTCCTCGTTGCAGCCACTGCAGTGGTGGCACTTCGGAGTCAGCTCCCTCCGGGCGACGAGGTGCAGGTAGCGACCGAAACAGCCGTGTCCCGTGAGCACCTGCGTCGCTCGGAAGGTGAGAACAGCGGTTGACCTAGCCCATCCTTCAAACCGATCTTTACCCGAAATTACTGCTTCGCCGCAGAAATAGCCAGAATTTACTATCAATCTTATTACAAAAACATATGTTTAAACTTATCAAATGTATACAGGTTTTTTTTTTCTGTTATACTTTGGTTTGTTAATCAACTTTTCAGTGTCTTTGAAAAAAAAAATATCATCGATAAGTGTTTACCGGAATCGGTAGACATCGTCACGTGAATACCATCACCCACTTTGAAACGTGCATTATAAATTTTAATTGTATAGTATGATGGTTGGCAATACGGCATAAATAGTTGAAATGGTCGTACAAGCACATGCGGGTTCACACCACGCCCTACCATCTATTCTATTCTATCAGCCCACATACGTCCACTGCTGGACATAGGCCTCCCCTAAAAAGGATCGGTCCTGCCCTGCTTGCGTCCAGCGGATCCCGCAAACTTCAATTAAATTTAATTAGCACTTTTTACTGCAGTACGAATAACAAGCTTATCTTATTACAAGACTATTGTCAGTTAATAACCCCACGCGTTGTCTCTCGCACAAGAAAAAAGACGTGTGGTATCGTGGGACACCGGATAGGAACGAAGTTCCATAATATAAAAATATTAATTTTAAGTTCTATTCGAGGTATAAAGAAAATAATTATTCGGGTATACATTTTTTTAATTTTTTACGGTTGATAAAAAAAAATCGCAAGGGTCAACCACTCCGCAGAGCAACCTCGCCCTGAGGGAACCGACGGCATGAACACAGTATCCCTCTACGCCAGGTAAGTATGATTGAGCAAGAGAAATACGAGAAGGTTTATCGACTGTGTAACATCTCGTCACCGCGATTCAGGAATTGTGGAATTTACGTGTAGCGACATCTGTTGATAACAAACTAAATAAATAAATCTTACGTTACGGACGTTTTTTCCCGGTTAGGATAGCCCTCCGCATAGTCCCATAAGGAACTTCGTTCCAAAAAACTTTGTTAATTGAATGATACAATAGAACCCAATAATTTGTGCACCAATTATCGAACACGATACGGGCCAAGCGCATCGAAAAAATATAACACCAAAGAAAACTCATAAAAATGCGGAGAACGTGTAATAGTAATATGGGAAAAGTTTTAATAAGGGGGGAATAAAACTGAGCTTCGATATCACCGAAGTTGCGAGGGGAGATTAAAACTCCGACAGGGAATCTTTAACCGGGTGCGAAGTCGTCGGTGGTAGTGAAAACCGTTTGCGATCGTAAAACATTAACGTTCCATCTTAAAGTAATTTAGTTCTAAACGGTTCCGCTTTGCTTCCTACATAGCATTTGTAATGCATCTTTATGGAGTTCCAGTCATGAGATTCAATCCCGTTTTTCAGGGAAGCCGTCGGAGCACCATGGTAGGTAAGNAGGGAATCTTTAACCGGGTGCGAAGTCGTCGGTGGTAGTGAAAACCGTTTGCGATCGTAAAACATTAACGTTCCATCTTAAAGTAATTTAGTTCTAAACGGTTCCGCTTTGCTTCCTACATAGCATTTGTAATGCATCTTTATGGAGTTCCAGTCATGAGATTCAATCCCGTTTTTCAGGGAAGCCGTCGGAGCACCATGGTAGGTAAGAAACGTGGATCTCCACGACGACATGGACCTCGAGTCCATCAGTAAGTATTTACAGACGGCATCAGTGCGCCATTTCGAGAAAACGGCAAGACACACAAGCCCGCTCGTCGGGACCGCCGGTAATTATATATCCGGTCCCGCGGATCGAATGGTAAACAGTCGACGTCGCCCTAAACACGTCATTTCGGATCCTCCCGATCTACTATCGGTGCTTTTAGGTACTTCAAACACCGGTCACCGTTCCCGTCGAACCCGTCTGTGAATCTAGTTTAACCCCTCAGGTTTACTAGAATAAGTAGGAAAAAAGTCGGTTTACTGACGACAGTTGAACGTCATAAGAAAATACTGATGGAATGGTTTCATTTTCCAAAAGAAAATTTTAATTTTATTTGTTTGATAGATATTTTGTATGGATATAGGGAAAGAGGTAAATGGAAAAACGCTCTAACTAGTCGAAACAACGGCATCTCGTTAAAATTAAAAATGAACACAGCATCCATGATTTCAAAATATCGAATGGAACATTTCAATTTGTTATTTGGTCCAACAACAAACAACACACACGCACACACTCAAGCTAGTCTCCGCATGAAAGAGATTTTAGTATTAATTAATGTACAATAATTTGCTTCTGATTACGAGTTTTGCGGACTTAATTATTTACAGGTACGGTTAATCAAGACAAGAACTGTTATTTTCATTTCGCCCTATTGTTCGTAATAACCGCGTTCGAAGCGAAGTTGTAGACTAGACTTTGCTTAGGCAGCGGCTCCCAAACTTATTTTTTCTACTGCCCTCTTTGAGAATAAATTACTTTTTAGCGCCCCCATTTTTTCACCTACTTAAGAAACACTATAGCGAGAGTTCAGTTGGTGTCTAAGAATCCTTCTAGATGAAATTACAAATCGCCTCCCAAACCTCTACACAACGCCCCCATTTTTTTCAAGGTCTCTTAACGCCCCCTTTTAAACCTGCAGCGCCCATAAGGGGGCGTTATCGCCCACTTTGAGAAAGGCTGGTCTAGAGGCTGCCGGTGACGTGGCTCGTGTCTTGCCAGTTCCGCTTGGTAATTATCTCCAGACTACGGCAAATAAAACTATAGTTATGATCAGGTGCGTTTGTATGCTGTTATTGAAGTAGATATTTGCACCGATTCAGAAACTTATTCTGAGAGAAATGTTATCGGCTATATAATATAATTCAAGCTCCGGTGTCCACAGACTTAGAACAAAAAAGAAGTGAGTTATCCAAATTAACATAGTAATATTTCAAATGCCTGATGCTTAAATGACCTTACTAAATTATGGTCGAGTATTGTTGTGTTACTTAAATACATACAACTATGCTTAAGGTTTAAATTCGCGTTTTTAATTGTCATTAGATGTATACTTTCGGAAATTAGAATATTGTGCTGGCTACGAAAAATGTAAAATATTCGAAAATTCAAAACGAAATACTTATAATATAATAATAAAATTGAAAATAAAGAAATTTCATCATTTTTAAATGCTTAATTGAATGATAGAACTTACCGTCTACCTGGTGTGTAGGCTTACTGTAGTTCATATTATGTAAATCACAACCTAAATGCCGCCACCCACTTGGAGACATCAATTTGAAATTTCAATGATATTGTATTATAGTCTAGTCAACAAGTTCAAAAACGTGTTAAATAGACATAAAGCTCCTAAAAATATGTACGATAGCTCATTGGATGCGGAATGATGTCTACAAAAATGTTTTTTAAGGGCTTATTAGCACTTAAAAAATTGCGATTGTTATAAACAAAATAAGATTTAAAAAAAAAGGAATTTGGTTTTTCCTTAATTATTTCTAAAATAATGATATTTAAGGAATTTTGAAAAAAGATCCTGAAAGAGGAGGAAATTTCCAATAAAAAAGTCCCAACTCCCGGAATTCTATCTCTATTATTTATAAAAAAAAATTAACGCTGAAAATAGGGCTCCGCGAGGTCGTTACGGCATAGGCGCGCCGTCTAAAAAGCCGGTATATCACCTAAAATATTTTTTTTATAGTATTAAATAACAATTTAAAAATTTGAATTAATTATGGTGTAATCTAAACACTTGAACGAAAAAAACCTCGGTGAAAAAAAAATTTTATATCGATTTTTCAAAAATTTACACCATTGTTAATATTAACTAACTTTTTTCCAATCTCTGTTTTTATAAATTACGGTATAAAAGTTACAATAATTCATCTATAAAATTTTCCCTTCGTGGAGCTCTTATCATTTAAGTACTTAATAAAGTTAAGTAAAAAAATTTTTTTAATCTTTATTATTTTGATAATTATAATTTTTTTTAATTAACAAAAAATTAAATTTCAAAAAAATGTTATGAAAAATAGTTTTTTTTCGTAATATCTTAATATTGCTGTTTTTGCATCTACCATAGGTATTAATTAACATTTAAAAAAAAAAATTTACGCTGTTTGTTAAGAATTTTTTTATAAATAAATAGACTATTTTGGGATGTAAAAAAAAAAAAAAAATTACCGTCTTATTGCATAGGTGAAATAAAGATTTAAAAAAAAAAAATTCTTAAATAAATGTTTTAATTGTTTAAAATCGTTTTTTTCATATTTCAATTGTTTAAATAATTAGTTAAGAAATTATTTTTTTCTTAAAAATCATCATTGACTCTTTTCAGCGGATTAACAAAGAAATACATTTTTTTATAAATAATTTCATTGTTTATTAGCTTAACAATTTGTTATAAAAAATTAATATTAATCGTTATATTTTTTTTCGAAGACTACAAAAAATGACGTAAACAACCATACATAACAAAATATAGAAAAAAAAAATTGTTTTTTTTACAGCATTTTTAGATATTATATGATAATGAAATTACAGCCGTTACATAATTTGTCAAGCTATAAATTGTTATAACTTTTAAATCAAATCAAATCAAATCAAATCAAAAAAATTTTTTTTTTTTTTTATTCAACATAAATGAAAGTACATACTTGTTGAACGTCAAAAGAACTACCGCCAATTCACAAGAACTAGCCTCCGTCCTNAATCCCAAAATAGTCTATTTATTTATAAACAATTTCTTAACAAACAGCGTAAAATTTTTTTTTTAAATGTTAATTAATACCTATGGTAGATGCAAAAACAGCAATATTAAGATATTACGAAAAAAAACTATTTTTCATAACATTTTTTTGAAATTTAATTTTTTGTTAATTAAAAAAAATTATAACTATCAAAATAATAAAGATTAAAAAAAATTTTTTACTTAACTTTATTAAGTACTTAAATGATAAGAGCTCCACGAAGGGAATAATTTATAGATGAATTATTGTAACTTTTATACCGTAATTTATAAAAACAGAGATTGGAAAAAAGTTAGTTAATATTAACAATGGTGTAAATTTTTGAAAAATCGATATAAAAATTTTTTTTCACCGAGGTTTTTTTCGTTCAAGTGTTTAGATTACACCATAATTAATTCAAATTTTTAAATTGTTATTTAATACTATAAAAAAAATATTTTAGGTGATATACCGGCTTTTTAGACGACGCGCCTATGCCGTAACGACCTCGCGGAGCCCTATTTTCAGCGTTATTTTTTTTTTATAAATAATAGAGATAGAATTCCGGGAGTTGGGACTTTTTTATTGGAAATTTCCTCCTCTTTCAGGATCTTTTTTCAAAATTCCTTAAATATCATTATTTTAGAAATAATTAAGGAAAAACCAAATTCCTTTTTTTTAAATCTTATTTTGTTTATAACAATCGCAATTTTTTATGTGCTAATAAGCCCTTAAAAAACATTTTTGTAGACATCATTCCGCATCCAATGAGCTATCGTACATATTTTTAGGAGCTTTATGTCTATTTAACACGTTTTTGAACTTGTTGACTAGACTATTAAGACTGTGCCGCTCTTCAAAATAAGAAAGCGTTACTGCTTCAAGAGAGAAATAGACATGGCGGTGTTAAAAAGGCGAGATAACAAAGTGCCCTACCACCAGTTATGAATTTAGTAAATTGCATATAGTTTTAGGGATGATTAAAACTGCAATTTCAAATTTACAGATACCTACTTAAGATTCTATAATGATTGGTGTTTGTAAGTCAAACAAACTCAGTACTTACAGTAGATTAGGTATTGGAGTTGTAGTGGTATCAAAGGCGGTGAGCGTGAAGTTGACTTTGCCACAGCCAGCGGTTGTCAAAGGTTTTCCTTGGAACGTTAATGCACCTCTTGCTAGAGAATTCTCCGCGCCAATGAGCAGCCATCCACATAAGAGTAGACTTAGCAAACTCCCTCCTAATGCACCCTAAAAGAAAGACGCTTTGTATTTAGTATTGTAGGTAACTTTTAATTGTGGTATGGCTTTGTGAACTCGCACGGGTAGGGACCGCTGAGCAGTAATGCGTTGTGATGTCCAGGGTAGGAGAACTATTATACTATGAATTAAGGCAGACCTTGTGTCGCAATGTAGGTGATAGCATTTTTTATGATGACACCTGTAAGCTCCGGTAACTACTTAACATCTGATGGATCGGAGGCTTAATAAATCAGCAACTTAAAAAAAATCACTGATAATCTTTGAATATTATTGAACGACTAAACAGAAAAAAATGCGCCGCCATCTATCGGAAAATGACATTACTTAGTGCTGCCATCTTAATGTATATTGGTGAACTATTAAGAAATTCATATGATTCAAAAGCAGTCACTTGTAGTAGTTTATGAAGGCTTCAACAGATGGCAGTAATTCAAATTTCAGTATTTTGGATGCAATATTTTATGAATGCTTTATAGGTTTTATATGAATATGTTTATAGAACGAGCTCACTGCTCACCCGGTATTAAGTTACCGAAGTCTATAGACATCGACGACGTAAATGCCGCCACCCACCTTAAGACATGAGTTCTAAGTCTCCGTTTTTACAGTAGGCAACGGCTGCCCAACCCTTCAAACCGAAACGTATTACTGATTCACAGCGGAAATACCAGGGCAGTGGTACCTACCCGTACGGGTTCCACAACACCAGTAATTACGGGAATTATTAAAAATTTCTCGATTTTAATTCCTTTTTTTTACATTACGAGAACAATAACATATCGTATTGAAAAATATCCACTCACACAACTGTTTGCCCTCGAGAAGACAATGCCAAGCGTGAACAGGCCTAGTAAAGTGCCTGCAGATACTCCCGTCACACCTGAAGCGACGTGCTGCAAACGGTCTAAGTCCTTCGCAAACCAGACCACGCATGCGCAGTAACACCCAACCAGCATACAAAGAACCTGGATTAAGATTGAATGGAGAATAATTAGATGCCTCTTGATTTCAATTTGCCTACCCATTTCTTTAATCAAAGGTTAGCAATCTCGCCGCTTACATGATGTTAAAACGTTTACAGGATTATATCATGACGTTAATCCTACATCATTGTAGTAATCGTCAATGTACGTTAACATCTATCTATAGAAAACTTGGTACATGACTGTGGTATTTGAACACTGCTCATGACCTATACAAGTGTAGTGTTCGCTCACGCGGCCCGCGCCAGTTTGAAACCCCTTCAAGTTATTCAATCCCGTTTTTGCAGGATAGCTGTTGGTTCCTACGGAACGTGGATCTCTATGATCCTCAATGGTAAACAGTCGACGTCACCCTAAAACGTCATTACGGATCCTCCCAATCCATTGACGGTGCTTTTAGGTACCACAGGCACCGCTAACCGTCCTTGTCGAACCGCACGGCGAGTAAATTAACCCGCAAACACAGCCCACTGAGTTTCACGCCGGATCTTCTCAGTGGGTCGCGTTTCCGATCCGGTGGTAGATTTTGCAAAGCACGGCTTTGGTACTGTTCGTGTTAGCAACATCGTCAGGTTTGAACCCCGGAGGTCACCTACTAGTTAAGGTTACGCTGATATGGTCTTTCTAGATCATCAGTTTAGCTAGGAAAAAAAACGACTTTACAAACGCTGCCCACCCCGAGACGAAATAACGAAAGCACAATTGATTCGTGGCAACAGTGGTAAGGGAAAACTTTAACAAACAACAACAGAACTGGGTAATGGGGTAATAAATAAATAAATAAATATTTACTAACAATCACGCCACGTTAACTGGTCCCGTGGTAAGTTCGTAAAGAACTTGTGTTACAGGTACCAGATAACGGAAATAAATGTAATATTTTTATTATACACATACATATATTTAATATACATCCATAACCTTGGAAAAGACATTTATATTTATCATACAAATATCTTCCCTTGGCGGGATTCGAACCCGCGACCCCCTAGTGTAGTGACCATGTCACTTACCACTACACCAGACGGACGTTAATAACGTAATGGACGGCTTATGGGATATCTAACTACTGCAGAAGATTAAGATCGCTAGCTTGTATCGTCTGCTTAAAATCTAGATAGAAATACGAAAACCCAATCGTCTTAAGAAGACATTTCACACAAAAACACACGTTTCAATGAAAGAAATAGTGGTAATGTAAATAATAAAAAAATTAAATTCAATTTAGCAAATTAATATTTTCCATTTATGGAAATATAATAATAATAATAATTGAACTTACTTTCATGATNTCGACAACGGAAATGCCGCCACCCACCTTAAGACATGAGTTCTAAGTCTCTGTTTTTACAGTAGGCAACGGCTGCCCAACCCTTCAAACTGAAACGTATTACTGATTTACGGCGCACCAGGGGCAGTGGTACCTACCCGTACGGGTTCCACAACACCAGTAATTACGCACTTTATTAAAAATGTCTCGATTTTAATTCCTTTTTTTTACATTACGAGACCAATAACATATCGTATTGAAAAACATCTACTCACACAACTGTTTGCCCTCGAGAAGACAATGCCAAGCGTGAACAAGCCTAGTAAAGTGCCTGCAGATACTCCTGTCACACCTGAAGCGACGTGCTGCAAGCGGTCTAAGTCCTTCGCAAACCAGACCACGCATGCGCAGTAACACCCAACCAGCATACAAAGAACCTGGATTAAGATTGAATGGAGAATAATTAGATGGCTCTTGGATTTCAAATTGCCTACCCATTTCTTTAATCAAAGGTTAGCAATCTCACCGCTTACATGATGTTAAAACGTTTACAGGATTATATCATGACGTCAATCCTACATCGTTGTAGTAATCGTCAATGTACGTTATCATAAATAAATAAATAAATATAAATATTTACTAACGATCACGCCACGTTAACTAGTCCCGTGATAAGTTCGTAAAGAACTTGTGTTACAGGTACCAGATAACGGAAATAAATGTAAGATTTTTATTATACACATACATATATTTAATATACATCCATAACCCTGGAAAAGACATTTATATTTATCATACAAATATCTTCCCTTGGCGGGATTCGAACCCGCGACCCCCTTATGTAGTGACCATGTCACTTACCACTACACCAGACGGCCGTTGAGTATCATCTATCTATAGAAAACTTGGTACATGACTGTGGTATTTGAACACTGTTCATGACCTATACAAGTGTAGTGTTCGCTCACGCGGCCCGCACCAGTTTGAAACCCCTTCAAGTTATTCAATCCCGTTTTTGCAGGATAGCTGTCGGAGCACCATGGTTCCTACGGAACATGGATCTCCATGATCCTCATTGGTAAACAGTCGACGTCGCCCTAAACACGTCATTACGGATCCTCCCAATCCATTGACGGTGCTTTTAGGTACCACAAGCACCGGTAAACGTCCTCGTCGAACCCGTCGCTTGCGATGAACGGCTCGGCGAGTAAATTAGCCCACAAACACAGCCCACTGAGTTTCTCGCTGGATCTTAATGGGTCGCGTTTCCGATCCGGTGGTAGATTCTGCAAAGCACGGCTTTGGTACTGTTCGTGTTAGCAACATCGTCAGGTTTGAGCCCCGGAGGTCACCTACTAGTTAAGGTTACGCTGATATGGTCTTTCTAGACCATCAGTTTAGCTAGGAAAAAAAAACGACTTTACAAACGCTGCCCACCCCGAGATGTAATAATGAAAACGCAATTGATTAGTGGCAACAGTGGTAAGGGAAAACTATAACAAACAACAACAGAACTGGGTAATGGGGTAATGGACGGCTTATGGGATATCTAACTACTGCAGAAGATTAAGATCGCAAGCTTGTATCGTCTGATTAAAATCTAGATAGAAATACGAAATAATAATACCTATAGATAGAAATACGAAAACCTAATAATCGTATTAAGAAGACATTTGAACTTGAACTTCTCACAAACAAACACGTTTCACTTGAAGAAATAGTAATAACGTAAATAATACAAAATTTAAATTCAATTTAGTAAATTAATATTTTCCATTTATGGAAATATAATAATAATAATAATTGAACTTACTTTCATGATTTTGCAACATGTTAGTTCGTTGGTGTCTTGCGGCATCCACGGTCTTATGAATTCCTCAAACAACACTCCAGTTATTGAATTAATTATCGTTGCTATGCACCTTAAAAGTTTATAATACTATTAATTGTTTGACGTCAGAACTTAAAACAATTTAGTAATTAAATATTCTATTTTACCCGGCAGTGGCGCTGAATATCGATATAATGAATATACCACAGATACCAGGAAACATTGTTGACAGGTGGTTCAAGAATTGCGGAACTAACTGAAAATGAGATATAATTTATTGGTAATTATATATTTTTTTCATATTTCTGTATATTTCGTATGTTTCGGAATACCGGCAAAATTGAAAGGGAAAATTCTAAAGACGGTAGCCCAAGACTAGTAGTCTGACCAGACAACTGAGAAAGATAGGAATAGGTACAAAGGCAGGTGGGAATAGAAACAGTAAGAATATACAGAAGCTCAAGAAGAAATATTATAGCTAGTAGTTATTGAGAAGCCTTTTTCGCGCATGGTTTGTTTTTATTATTGCAAAAATCATACATGACCCTGCTTTTTTTTGCCGTCAAGCAAATGCGATAGAATTTGTAGTATTGGATAGCTGTATACAACTGAGACAAAGACCTCGTGTCTTCATATAGTTGACAGTATTCAATTTTTGATGCGGATAGTCTACGGCAACCTCTTCAAACGAGGGACCATAAGCTCGCATATAGTATGTCTATATACAAGAAAAAAGAGACTCAAAAAATGTAAAATAAAAAACTTCAGAGGTGTCAAGGGACACCCGGATGGAACGAAGTTCCTTTCGATTAATTAGTGAAGGAATTGTAATTTTTTTTTTAAGTTATAATAATAAATTACGGCATTATGAAGAAGAAAAAACAATACTATGAACTAAATTACTATTGTTGAAACGCTATCTCGAGAAACTGTACTCATTACGCGGACCAATCGGATACGAGCAATGTCACGCGATAAGCGCCTACACGTTGATTGGTCAGAATGACGGATCTAAAAAGTGTCGTGACAACTTTACGTAAGAATTTTTTCCGTCTAGCCCCCTTTCACAACGCGCGATAAGGTACTTCGTTCCAATAGCAATATATAGGTTTTTAACTTACCATTTTAACTTAACATCATTACCTGTTCATGTTTCTTAATTTTTCCAGCGAGCAATGGATCGCAGCCGACAAACCAAGCGTACAGCGCCAAGCCGAGTGTACAAGATAGCAATTTCATTAAGATCACTCCAACGCATGCAATGATCAAACATACTCTTGCTTTATTTATCGTCGATACCGCTTGGAGCTTCTGGAGAGTTCCCTGACTCAAGGCCATTTTCCACAGCCAATTCGTACTTAATGCTAATGTGACTGCAAAGAAGGACGTGTGGTGCTCCAATTCGGGATCGGGACTAAAAATAAAATGTAAAATAAATGTCAATTACTACCCTGCTCCTAGTGTTAGAGCTGAAGGCGTCTAATGCAAAGGTTTTTGAATCTGATGAAACTGTAAGGACGTGTTAATGCAATGTGCTGATGTAGGTCATCGCCGAATCCTCGAGGGATACGTTTAAATATTTTAAAATGTTGATCTAAAGTTTGAAAATGGGTAAATAGTAAATTAGAAAGAAAAAAAAACGTTTGAGTTTATTGTTTCTCCAGTTCATCTCTGGAATGTTTTTTTTTTTTGGGACCGGTGATAGAAATAGTGTATTTTGACATTCAGCACGCTTATTATAACGAAAATTCAATTGAAATAAGTGTTTTGAATATGACATAGATTGATCAAAACCACATAATAGCTGTAAACATAGCTACGCAAATCTGTCCGTCTCTTTTTCATATATCGCGTTACTTACATTCTGACTCTAGGTTAATTAAATGATGTTATTGAAGAAAATTTTTACGTTTTTTTAATCTAACATGTAGGTATAGGTACATACAAATATTCTATTAAAAAAGTATAAATTATTGTAGTATACAAATAAACAATAAAATATTCGAAAAATATACTAAAACATACCAAATATGCACAAAATGAGACCGCGACAACCAATCGCTTTTCGGAAACAGAAAATATTAAGTTAAAAAAAATAATTAAATAACTTACTCGTACAAAACCAATCTCCCGCCGAGACTATTAAGTTCCCACATCTTCGCCAAGCCCATTGGCAAAAGAGCTAATCCACTCGGCAAGCCAGTACCGGCTATTGCCAGGAATACTGTGACCATGCCGAGCGTGACTATAGCCTGTAGTCCACCGACAGCTATTAAAGTAGCACAAGACACGCATACTACAGCCGTAATGCGTTCGGCTAATTGATCTGTGACTGTAATCAACAAACAAATTGCGATATTAAACACGTTAAAGAAAAGGAAACATAATCATTTAAATCAAGATTGTTGGAATTAACCTCGCGATTTTATCTCTAAATTTTCCTGTAAAATTTTAGTTGTTAGTTCTATTTCGTTTATGTTAAAATCTCACTGTGCTGTATTAACTTTTTGACCTTTATGAATAGAATAGGAGAAATAGGCAGATTTCCAATGTTATTAATGTCATAGTCTCTTTAGGGCAGATTGGTAAACAAGATTAACAAAACGTAAATTTTTGACACTGGCTAAAACCGGCGGTAAAACTAAAACACATTTTTGTTTTACTGCCTCTTTGTTTTTACTTTTTCGTTTTTAATTTTGTCTTGGCACACGTAGTTTATCTTGGAAGTTGATTTGGGTAAATTAAAGAAGGTATTAAGAAAAAGAAGTCTCGACGATCAGTGTAAATTAAATAATTGAAGTTATAAATTTGCTGTAATTTGCTTTTCTAGTATGACGATCTTCGTTGGGCGTAAATGTCGTTCGTATACCTATATGTATTAGCTAGGTTCTTATTGAGAAAAAATTGTCCTTACTCTAGGAATTTATTGGTATATGTAGTTTTGCATTATTCCATATTATTAAAACGAAAGTATTTTTATTAGGACAACGTCTTGTATTGTGGTCTATAATTAGCTGCTTATAAATTTCTAAGCCGTAAATCTTACCGAGTCTGAAGGCTGTGAGAGGCACGTAAGGAACAATAGGCAGCAACATCAATTTGCTGATGATGAACATCACGGCAGCAATCGTTCTGGTGTGTGTTGAAAATCTTATCTCTAAATACTCGAAACTCGACGACAGTTGGAGTTTGTGGAACACTAAAACAAATTGATTACGTGAACTGGTCCAAAATCATTGAGGTCCTAATAGACACAGCCCACTGAGTTTCTCGTCGGATCTTCTCAGTGGGTCGCGATTCCGATGTGGCGGTTGATTCTGCGAAGCACTGCTCTTTCTAGGGCTAATGTTAGCAAATTCTCTCAGGTTGAGCCAGTGAGCTCACCTACTAGTCCGGGCGTAGCTGGGTAAGCCCCCTAGACTAGTAGCGAATAGGTAGGGGGAAAAAATTGCGGACACAAATTATAGCAAGAAAAAAAGGGTGCGTGTACTTATGTACGCGCGTAAGAAGTTATACTTTCTTTTTATTTTTATTTCTTTTTTATTTTATTTAAATTTTAATCAATTTGAAAAAAAATCTATATTGAGACTCGCCAAGTTACGTCGGTCGTATTGTAATGAGCGATTTAGTGGGCAACTTCATTCTGTTAATTTTGTGTCACGGTGTGCGCGCGCATCGTAAAATTTCACTCTCATAAACTTTTCATAACGCGCCTAAAGAAGTATAACTTCAAAAAACAATTTCTAAAAGCCTTCAAATTAATTAATTGGTAATTCATTTTCAAATGTCTCATATACCTAAATATTACGAAAATCAATTTGAGTCTGTTATGAATTGAACAAATAATCACAAGTACATACATAATAGGAGGTAGTGATTTTTTTTAATTTGAAAGTCAAATACGACGCTTATCGTTTTTGAAGGCCTAATTTAAATATCGGAGATAACGTTACCTGGTAAATAAATAACGGCTGTGAGAAATGTTACAATGATCAGAGACAGAGCAGACGCCCAATATTGCGTTCCTCTTAGATATATCTCGACTGGTACACCTAGCAAAGTGATGCTGGTTATGTGACTGTAACAAAACAGAATTTTAAGATTAAAGGTAAGAGTTTTAGTGCTTAGTAAGTTTGTAGATAAAAATTAATTTAGTTTACTTAGTGTCACATAGCACATAAGTACCACAACACCGCCCGCTTGGAGACATCACCTAATCTCATTATAACTGCAACATGATTGTCCTATACTTCGGAGCAGATGGTATAAATCCAACAAACCTTCAGATAATAACGAGGTTGATACTGTTACGTCGGTAAGAGTAACGAAATCTATCGCCGAATAGCCGAACGAATATCGAAGGATTTTGTAACATCTAGAACGCTAGAGAAGTAAAACGTCATCTATTGTCAAATAGCGGAAATGCACATTGAAATACTCGACTTGTGAGGAATTTGCTCAACAATTCTAGAGATGTCGTATCGACTATAAAAACGTTGCAGAGATCGCACGCAGTGAGCGTAATCGGAACTAGACGAAGCGAAACAGCGAACGGATCACCTGAAGTGAAGTGGAAAAAGTGAATTAAGAATTTTAAAGTGTTCTGTGAGTGTTCTAAGTGCTAATACAGTTTTAAGTTGTAACTCAAGTAGAATTTTTATTTATCTCTAACACCAGCGCGTAACAATACATTACGTATTGACGAAGCGTGGATAGGCCTCCCACAAGAGGGACTGACGACCTGTTAAGGTTGGCAGGAATCCGCTAGATGCAAGCAGACAAAGATCGATCTTTCTAACGAGGCTTGGGGGAAGTTTATGTCTAGCAGTGTACGTCTTTGAGCTGATAGAACAGAATAAAATCGATACATTACTACGAAAATATAAGTGATTTCTTTCAAATTCTTACCTTGCAATAAGAGCCAATGTCACAGAAATAACGGACATATTTTTCCCTCCAAATAAGAATCCAGCAACTGTATTATACTTTCTGTTTATTAAATTATAATACAATATAATACCTATTATAACGCCGAGTATAATACCAAAAAGACAATACTCGGCGATGTTGAAGTATATTTGTGAAACTGTATAATTATTAACATTATTCATTTTATAAAAGTATTTTTTTAATTATTAACTGGCGTGTGTCGAACACTCTATCTAGTTGCAAATAAGACTTATATTATCAGTGCTTCACTCCTGACAATAATAAAACAGATATAGTGAGATAAAACTAGATTTTATAACAATCCCTTTGCAAATAGAAGATTGCAAACGTTTTGCATTTCGTATGGTTTTATTTTTTTGATAATTCAGTCTAACGGTTTCCCATTTCTGTCTCGAAAAGGCCAAAAGTAATTCACTTCATATGTGCCCGAAAGTGCGCGTGCTTGTATCTTGCCCTTATCAAAACAAACAGTAGAATGCTTATCCATAAATAAATAGTTAAAAATGACATCATGAAATGGTTTGCCGTGTTCTCTAGCGTTTTTGTTGAACGTTTTCGTAAAGTGATATCAAGCGTTGTTTAATTTAGATGTTATGATACGGGATAAGGTTACAAAATACTTTCACATTGAATCTAGTTTCTTTCGTACATTAAAATATTGTAATTTGAAAGGAAGATCCTTTATAGCATCCACGTTTATAGCATCAGGAGCAGTTAAAACACTCCCGAAGTCAGCTCGGTAATTAGGTAGGTACATGCATCTTAATGTGGACGGAAATTATAATATATTAATTATTTACTTATTTAAACATACCTACTTGTTGTTTAAGTGTGTTGAATTCATATTTTGCTATCAAGGAATGTAAAATCATCTAACTTTTAATTCATTTTACATTGCGTCAATTATATTATGTGAGACAATAAGCTTTTATTGAGTTGATGGTTTTCTTTCTCCTATAGACTGCAGATACCTACTCGATAGAGTTTTCATTTCGAGTTCATTATTCAAAGTCATTGGCAGCATTTTCTTTATGAGCTCTATCATTTTATTCACGTCCACAGTAAATTAATTCATGTTGATATGTTTTCTTATTTAATTTTTGAAAATAATATCATTACTATTTTTCATTTTCTACCTAAGCTGATGGTCTTGAGAGACCATATCAGCGTAACTGGGCGAGTAGGTGAGCTCACCAAGCTCAAACCTGACGTTGTTGCTAATACTAACCCTAGCAAGAGTCGTGCTTCGCAGAATCTACCACTGGATCGGAAACGCGACCTACTGAGAAGATCCGCCGAGAAACTTAGTGGGCTCAGAGTGGGCTGCATTACTAACTGAAATTTCTCTTCTGATTATAGATACTACTAGAACCAAGTTAATGCTGCTGACATAAAAATACTTTTTTTTGTCTCAACGCCCTCTAGTGTCATAATTATAAAGTAATAATAAGCTCTTTCTGTCTTTGATTATTTAGTTTGTCAATGTAACCCTAGAGGGCACTGTTCAATTTTAGAATAATGATATTGTAGTTCATATAAATGCGAAAAGATGTCACTGATTTCAATTTTATGGTTGGACAATAAAGTACGTAGAGGCACGACTTAAAAAATGTTTTAATGTAAGTAAATACGAACTTCCGCGATTAATATTACTATTGTCGGTCATAAATACCAATATATGTATGCATATGTATGCGTTATTAATCCACAAAAATTCATATTTTATAGTTTTCTTCTAATTGTTCCGTTAATTGTTGATGTTAGCCATATCATAATTAATTATCAAGGGTTGATTTTTTTATTCAAACCGGAAAACCCTTTTTTTTATATAATAATATGTAGTCAAATTATTGACCTCGCCTATCATGACAGGTAAAACAACTCTCAGAATAATATAAAAATATTTCACAAAACTTCTTGTAATACTACGATAAATTTTCAGTACATTCTCATACACAAATCATTTTACACACAATATCGCAAATAATTCTTGTCCAGAACATTGGGTGACACGGGACCACCCGAACAAACGGAAGTTTTGGGGCGGAGGGGGGTTAACCAAGGAAATGCGAGATAAAGACACAAGATTCAATTCAAACGAGAGAAAACAGAATGGGTATAAAGAAAAATTAAATTATATTTCCCAATGGTGTCAGGCAGTTATTAAGTGGCCAGACGCCATTTTGAATTATTATATTTTTTTATTTCTTTTCCCCAGGTTTCCCTTTTGTACGAGGAATTCCTTTTATTTGGAATAGTTGTGGGACCAGATTGCAAATGGATTCTGGCGAAATGTGTTCGTGTAAATCAATGAGAGGCTTTCTTTGTATAGGACTATTGGGATCGTTATATTATTATAACCGGGTATGCATGTTGTAATATATGCGTGCTGTATCGGTTTAATATCTACATTATTAAAAGTAATAGAAGCGGAGCAGTGATGTAAAGAAGTACAATTATAAACAATATTCAGCTTGCTCTACTCAAAAGAAATAAATAAGGACAAATTCCATAGCATTGTATTGGAGAAGAATGGAATTAATTATATGTGGATTTTCGAAGTATTTTTAAAACTTGATTTTCATTTCTGACTCTAGCGGCGGTCGATCTCACAGTCTACCAGAGTTTACCATACTATTACGCATCTAAATATACTTAAACACAATCGAATATCCTGAATAACAACGACCTGTATCAGAAACAAATCTAATACGATATTACCAATAATATTAGGTAATCTTTGGGTATTACTAAAAAAATGTCAACTACGTAACCGAGTCAAAGAACGGTGGTTTAATCAAACGTTAAGGGTTGATGCTTAAAATAATCTCGGTAGGAGTCACAGTGGGCCCTCGGGCGTATGATAAACCGGCGATAACCGGATATGGGAACGAATGAATTGGTCGCTTCGAGCTAAGTTTTTTGCACGCGCTGGTGCTTTTGCGAACCCGATTATAAAGTCATACGATATTCGTTATTCGTATCTATCATATTCGATTTATTTTAAACGATAGCTTTTTAATTTATTACTTAGATGGGTGGACGAGGTGGATGTTATTGGAGCCCATAGACATCTACAATGCAAATGCGCCACCCACTCTGAGATGTAAGTTCCAAGGTCTCAAGTATAGATACAACGGCTGTCCCACCCTTCAAACCGAAACGCATCACTGCTTCACGGCTGAAATAGGCAGGGGTGGTGGTACCTACCCGCGCGGACTCACAAGAGGTCCTACCACCAGTAATTACGCAAATTATAATTTAGCGGGTTTGATTTTTATTACACGATGCTATTCCTTCACCGTTCCAATTTTTGTAATTTAGTTGAGTTTTGGTGCCAACCATTTGGAAATGCGACCGCTTATTTCTAAATATTAGCCCACGAATTTTACAAAACTCGTCTGAACGAAACTTCGTTCGGTGTTCATTTGTGCTCAAATAAATTTACAACCACAAATAAGTCGTACCATAAATAGAAAAGCATAAATCGTATGCAACCACTCATGGATTTCCGACTAGGTATAATCACTAACATTAATTACTAATTACTTAGGTTAATTTATACTATAACATAATATCTTTTGTTATATTGTCGATTTGTCTGGACACATAAACTCACTATTTCAATATTCCTTTAATATAACTAAATACATCGATTTAATAGCTACAACACAAAGAAAAAACAATCGATCGACAAAAGAAAGAGAAAATGGTACTTAACTGTTTTGTTTGTGCCTATTTCATATGTTATATATAGTATTTTTTGTTTTTTTATATAATGAATCGCTTTTTTTTCGATGCATGCAGTCGGTACCTGTAATTGTGTTAGCATTTAGTGTGAAATCAATGTATATGATACCTGTAACGTTCTGTGCTGACGTATAACATGTTGGTATCCAATAAATAAAATGTATATAGAAATAGAATAATGGGCTATATTCATGCGTTGTAACATTTAGATTTACAACAGAAATGATTGAATTATAATACCTATTTAAAAAAATATTAGGTTTTTTACTTTGTGAGTTTTCATTTAGTTCCCATCATTTTTAACTAAGTATTAGGTTATTTTGATGTTACTGTCCGAATGCCTGTACCAAATTAGAGAAAAATCACTTCGTGATACCAATTCATCGGGCTATCGACAAAATCTCGCGCGTCTTTCAGTATAGTGTGTCGCCGCGTTCATTTAACAGGGACACGTTATCGAAGAAAATGCTTTCTTTGGTTAACGTTATGTTATTTCCCGTTTCTAGGCTGTCATTAACATAAATTTTACGCCTCTCGTAGATAAGCTTGGACTATAGCCCGGCCCTTCTAGAAGGTCCTATCCTTAGGCCAAATTTACGATATATTATTTTACACATATTGCTGGAAGATGGTCTCTGTTTTAGTTAAATTCGTTTGTTTTGAATTCATTCAGCGTGATCGAGGGGATGCATGCGATGAATTTTTTGCTCTTGTTCTATTATTAAGGTAAAAAAAAGATGTGTGGTGTCGTGGGACACAGGATAAGAACGAACTTCCTTATTATAAAAATATTAATTTTAAATTCTATTCGAGGTATAAAGGGAATAATTATTCGGGTATACATTTGCTATTTTATTCATAAAAATAAAATAAAAACTACTTTACAAAGTTATCAACTTTATTTTATTCACAATGATTTATAAAAATATATAAGAATGATATTTAAAGAAATAGCTATTATAAAGAATAATAAAAATTAAGCCTAATTATGTTCTATCATAGAAAACCGTCATCACGTAGACTATACATTAGACACTGCATAGCCATCATACTAAGACTATACATAAATAATAAAGATCTTACGTTACGGACGTTTTTTCCCGGTTAGGGTACCCCTCCGCGTCGTCCCATAAGGAACTTCGCTCCAAAACTTAAAATTTAGCCTTCGCGAATTTGTTTCACTAGTTTGAAGCAGTAGAATAGTCGTGTGGCTTCTGTCAGATGTCAGTCAGATGCATTTGAATGTTCATATCATTAGGGCGGCGGCCTTTTTGATGTCCAATATTACACCAGAAAAGCCCTGAACCTGTCTGGCTAACTCCCCAAAAAACAGGTAGCCAACTTAGGCCTTATGATAGTATCGAATAAAGTCGTTTTTGGGTCGAAGTCTCGTACACACAGCATTACTACT